AGGGTTTAGGGCTTAGGGACTAGAAGTCCTTAGACATCCCCTAACCTACCCAGAGAAATCGTCAGAAGAAGCTAGCCTCAACACCGAAACTACCCAGACCCCCTAAAGGATCCAAAAAATTGAACCCTCCAAAATGGCTCCATTTCTACATTGGGGAACCTTTCCATTTTTTGGATCCTTTAGGGGTTCTGGGTACACTCCCAGGCAAGGGTGTGTGCGGCTGACGGCCCAAGGCGTTGGCATGGCTTTTTACGGTCTGCAGCTTCGTGGCACTCACGGAGGTTTAGGATGTAACGTTAGGGTATTCAAGGCCTAGGGTTGGGGCTTTTAGATGCAAGTTTTTTTTAAAGTTTTATCGGTCAGGGTTCAGTCAGGGTTTCAGGATTCGGCTTTGATAGGTATTGCGCGAGTGCTGCTGTAGGGAACCATGTAGGGATCCATCCTCCACTATTGAGCCCCAAAACCCCACGCCCCAAACTCCAAACCCTAAGGCCTGAGCCGTAAGCCCTGATGCCTAACAAAAACTTGGTATATACCACCAAGGCAAGGGATGAGACTGTGTCCTGAGTTGGAAGAGCTTTTGGAGGCGACGCTGGAGGATTTGCGCCATGTGGGTTTCAGGGCTTGGGATGTAAGGCTTAGATTTCAGGGTTCAGGGTCTGGGATTACCCTAAACCCTAAGCCCCAAACCCTATATCCCAAAACCCTAAAACCTAAACCCTAAACCCTAAACCCTAAAACCTAAACCCCAAACCCTAAACCCTCAACCCTGAAATTTAGGGTTTTCATTTCAGGGCTTGGGGGTTTGGGCTTTCAAGCCTTCGCCTCCCGGTCGCTTCAAGCCAGCTCTTATGCAGTGCTAGGAAGAAGGGGTTCTGGCTTCGAGCTTTTGGGTCCTTAAACCTATTTGACCCATAGTCTTAACTCCCTAAAGGGGGCTATATAGGGGATTATATAAGGGACTACTATAGGGGTTATTAAGCGGGATGCTAGGAGTTTAGACTATGGCTCATTTAAGCTTAAAAAGTTCTGAATCCTAAAGCCTATCTGAAAACCCCAAACCTCAAACTTTGCACCCTAGCCCCATAATCCCTATATAATCCATATAATCCCTATAGTTTCCATTCTCTTTCCCATTATCCCTACATAACCCCAATATTACCCCAATGCCCACCTTGAAACCCCTGCACCCTAATTCTGGACCCTAAACCGCCTCCAGACTGTGACAGGCGCTCCTCCCTTGCGTGAAGGCATCTCCACTTGACGGCCAAGCAATAGGCCATGATGAGCAAAACATGCAATCATGCCTAGACATAGTCCCCCTTAAGTAGATAGAATATGGGAGTATATGGGCATCTTGTTATAATGTACCCAAGGCCATATTCTATCTACTTAAGGGGGACTATAACCCCTTTTAAAAGGACCCAGGGTTTCCATTTCATTCTCCGTTTTCTTTCCCATTTAGATTCCCTTTTAAAAGCCCCAGGCAATGCCTTGTATGGCCTACAGAGTCTCAGCAGCGACTCCCAAGTAGTACGGCAGCTTCTGGTCGTATTTGCTTCCAAGCTGAAAGCCTTCGACTGCAAGATGACAGAGCAGGACTGAACATAATTTTCCCTAAAACCTAAACCATAAACCCTACTTTCAAATTCACGCAAGCCTAAGCCCCCAAACCCTAAACCCCAAGCTCGGCACCCTAAAACCTAAACCTCCCAAACTCGAGGGGCTTGCAATGCGGAAGGAAGTGAGTAACGCCCTGTATGGCTTGCAATTCATGGACCTTTCTATCACGGAGGCGCAGCCACAGCAATGTTTTCACAGATGTTTCTCTGGAGGGTATGAGGTGTCTTGGTCATGCTTCCGGGAAGACCGTTCGGGTGATTGCGCTCCTTTGCTGTGCTAGGTGAGAGAGATCGTGGACGTCCTGGCCTCAGACACGGCAGCTATCCCAGAGCCCTACGGGAAAAATGCTGGCGGAGCTTCCTGAATTTCAGCTTCTGTCCTTGTGTTCCCCCATTTCCCCCCCCTGAAATTTGAAGTCCAAACGCAAAATCTTGAGATTGTTTACGGCCCACTCCTTGCAGCTCCAGGTCTTGGTGACTTCGGTGACCAGTGACGACGCGGAGCAATCTCCTAGCACCTCTACCCGAACTTACGGGGGAGTGGTTTCAGGGTTTAGGCTCTGGGACTTAGGGTTTCGGGAGTGGGGTGGGAGTGACCATGGGATTTTCGCGACTATTCTTACAGAATTTGCAAAGGTGCTGTTATGAAGACCCAACACAGCCGCAAACCCCAGCCTCAAACCCTAAAGACTTTAATCCGGGAACCCAAAACTCTAAGCCCCAAACCTTAATCTCAAGTCAGGCAGAGACAGGCGCAGCCAACGCAGCCGGCATCCGCTGAATCCACTCGCATCATCTGAATCTAGGCGGGGCTTCGTAAACACCCTCCGGTCCAGGGGTTCTGGGTTGAGGAAGGGTTTCGTTTTTTTTTTTTTCTCGCAAACAGGGTCTGGGCTTTGGGGTGTCGGGTTTGGGATCCCCGCCCCTAATAACTAGATCTTGTCCAGCCCAGAAGAACAAATATTCTCGAAGAGCAGTAGATATTTTGGAATTTATTTCTTGAGGGCAACCAAGTGGGCTGTGGTTCGAAATCTGTGCCTCAGTGAATGCGAGTTGCGCCGTTGTTCAGGTTACCCTCGAACTTTGTTGCTGTGGCTTTTCCTGGCACACTGTCGGGCGAGAGGTGCAGATATTTGGTGGACATTGGCTGCGACATGGGTGGCTTTGTGCGCGGCGTGGCACAATCTCGGCCAGAGATGCGGGTGGCTTGTTGATGCTTGGGGGGAATGAGGGAGTGGATCCGTCATCATCCTGATACCTAAACCCTAAACCCTAGATCTTTTAAGTACACACACCCCTATGATCCCTACCGCCGTCGCTCTCTGCCTCCCCTTTGTGTTTATCTATCCACATACTTTTCTGTCTTCTTTACATTCTCTGATGTGTATACGTACACCTAGACTTAGACCTGCCTAGGGCTCAACTCTCCCCAGCCCGCCTCGAGCACCAACAAGGTGGTTGGTTTGGAGATGAGATCGCATGCCGTCACCTATGCGGTGGCGAGGGCCCGAGAGCAACTTGCTTACAGATAAGGGAAGGCATCCTTGTAGTAACCACAAAATACTCCCGTTTTCTGTTTCACTTTTGCACTCTCCTCCAAACTCCCCAGTCATAAATGACCTCTAGAACCCCCAGCCCTAAATCATGAAAAGAAGCGACGAAAAAACTGAGCAGCATGGTAGCCTCCATCTTCTTGTCCCTTCTTTCAATCCTCGCTGACCGCCAGTAAGGCAGGGGCTGCAAAATGCGGCTTTTGCTCAGGCTTGGACGTTATCAAGCTCCCCAAAGCCCCGCCCCTACACCTACCCGGCCCTCCCATGCCTTAGGGCCAGTAAATGGGGACGGAAGTCTTTGTAGGATTCCTTTGTCGGGTTCCACGTTTTGGATGGACGGTAGAACAACTTCGTTCAGGGCAACGCCAACGTCGACTTGGCTTGCCTGCTTCGACAGGTTCAGGACACTGGCGAGGCCACTCTTAAGGGTTTAGGTTGCTTGCTGGTGCCTGAGGGGGAGTCAGGGAATGGACATATAAGCGTTACAATAAGGGAGCTTCCAACAGCTGATTATAGGAGCATCTGGAACACCCCTGCAGAAGGAAGTATGTAGCGCATACCTCAGAACAGTGCAACCTATCATGTTCACTTGCTGCCGTCTTGGGTACACACCCCATTAGACCCCCTGCAAGGTCATATCTACATCCAAAACCTCATTGCCATTGTAGTTAGCTAGAAACATTCTGCATTACACATTTTGTCCGTGCCGTGACTATCAATTTCCCTCACCCCAAGCCCTAAACCCCATATCCTAAACGCGCAGGCCCCGGACCCTAGTCCCTAAACTCTAAACCCTAAACCCTAAACTCTAAACCCTAAACCTTAAGCCCTAAACTCTAAACCCTAAAGCTTAAGCCCTAAACTCTAAACCCTAAAGCTTAAGCCCTAAACTCTCAAACCTAAAGCCTCAATCCCCAAACCAGGTGGAGACCGTGACTGTCAATTTCCCTGACCCACACCTGCTGCCAGAGCACCGCGAGCGGCGCGTGCTGCGGGGTTCCCTGGTGAAGGCCTGGCAGGACGCCTGTTTGGAGGGTTTAGGGTTTTAGGGTTTAGGGGTTTAGGGGTTTAGGGGTTTAGGGTTTAGGGTTTAGCCTAGGAATTAGGACCAGCATTTACGTGTGAGGGTTCAGAGTTTAGGATTTGGGGTTTAAGGTTCGGATTGGAGGGCTCAGGTGTTGAGGGTGTAGGTTCTAGATTGGGTTTGGGTCCGAATAGATTGAAGCTACTATAATGACAATAGCAGGTTGCATTCTTCTCTCCCATACTTCTTACCATGATGATTGTCTTGGTGTTTCATCACATTACTGTCTCAAACTCATCCCAAGGACTAGCATAATTCCCTTTAAATTCCTACATATCCTTCAATCCCGCATCTAGCTGGCGTGAAGGTCTTGGCTGAGCACCTATTGCCCGAGACAGAGGTACGTCTGCCAGCAGCCCTTGTTGAGTTTGGGTGTCAGGAATTGGGATGAGTAGAGAAGGAAGGGATAGAAAAGAACATGGGTCTAGGGCTTCGCTCTCGAAGAGAGCCGTTCACACATGTATATCAAAGGGCACCGGCTGTCGCCTGAGTAAGTTTCCCAGAACTCTTCCCAAACCATGAACCCTAAACCCTAAACCCCAAACTACTTCTCCAGGCGGCCTACTAGTGCATTCCAAAATCCAGATTCCGTGAGTGCGAAAAGGGATGGGATCCCTTGGTCCAGCCCAGTGAGAACTGTTGCCCTAAAGCGTTTGACTCTGAATCCCAAACTCCAGACCCTAAACTCTAAACCCCAAACGCTAAACCTTGAACCTTAAACCCTAAATCCTACTTAACATCCCCTTTGTTAATTCCAGGGCTTGAAAAACTTGCTGGCTCTCAGTAGGGAATGAGGGGAGATAATACCTATATCATCCCTATATAACTTTTTCCTTATTCCCTGCTATAACCTCAATATACGTATACCCTCTTGTCATGTAGTTGTTTCCATGTTCTTTTCCAATATCCCTATACAAGCCCTAAACCCTAAACCTTAGACCCTAAACCCTAAACCCCAGTAAGCAAAGTGTGTAGGTGCTCTTCCAATCTGACCTGGCTCTTCTCGTGGAGGAGGCCAAGGGAGACAGTTTGGGTGGGCGATGATTAGGGTTTATTGCAAACTTAGGGTTTGGGCGCATAAGACTTTTCAGTTTTTGAGATTTAGGAGAATGAGAAATCGGATATGGGGTAATTCGTATCTCGTCCTGAGGGTTTAGTTTTTAAGATGGAGGATCTTCAGGGTTAGAATGGATGCGATCACTTCTCCCAAATCCTAAGCCAAAAGCCCTAGATCCTAAACCCCCAAGCCCAAATCTCGAACCCCAAAGCCTCAACCCTCAGCCCCAGAAGCCCGACCTTCATCCCTAACCACTACCACCCATAAACGCTGAACCCTGAACCTCCCAACCCCATGGCCCTCACCCTGAAATCAGGCCAGGGCCGCCTTCACCGTTTCCAGATGCTTCCGCGCGACCCCCTGGCAGTCGCGACAGGACTCTCTCGGAGTGCCGGGAGTTGGGGAAGGGTGAGGGAATAGAGGAATACATTGGGGTTATATAGGGATAATGGAAATGAAAATGGAAGCTACTACATTACAATGGGGTTTGAGGGCTTAGGAGTTGGGGATTTGGGGTTTCCGAATTCAGGGTTTTAAAAACGGGTTCGGAGCTAGGGATCCGGGATTATAGGGTTTATAGAGATTAAGGTCCTGGAGCTCGGTTTCAGGATTGAAGGTTTAGAGATAAGGGGTTCGGGAACAGGTTTAAAAAGTCTAGGGTTCAGAAGAAAAGGAACGGCATAGGCTGGTTTTAGGAGGGTTGGGACAGGTCGGAACATCATGACTCTTGTAGCGACTAATGTGAAAAGAGGTTGCAGATGGCCCAAATCATCCACCTATCGTTGTTATTCATATTTAGGTAGACCCTATTGTACCTAATCCATGTAACTTCCTTCCGACCCTCCATAGAGTGTAGGGTTTAGGGTTTTGGGGAGGGGTCCTGTCCCAAAAGCCTTAAATTTAGATCCCCTGAAGAGATCTGAGATGCAGGACTTGGTCGACACAGAGCGGCAGAAGGTGGTTCGGCGATCTGGCGGTACCGTCCACAAGGCATAAAATGTGGATACTGCCTGGATACCGCTCCCGCACTATAGCTGTCCCGCCCCAACATTGTAGTTGTAGCTTTATGACAGCTTGAAAGAGGATCCTGTTTAATCACGGTGGTGGATTTGGGGCAGTACCCTATTGCTTGAAGTTGAGCCCACCAAAGGTCCTTATTGCGGGGGCCCCACTAGGGACCTGTTCAGTTTCAGAAGCCATTGAATCGAAGAGCAGGCGCGGTTCACACGCTGCGCGGTTCCCGTGCCCAAGTCGCTGGAGAAGGATGTGGACCGACTTCTTGCCAAGATGCGTGCCTGAGCTGTGCAGAGGAAGACTGGAGGCGCTATGGCCTTAGGACATACGGGTGCTTAGTATTTGAGGTATATATAGGGGTGATGGAAAAGAAAATGGAAACTACTACCTTATAAAAGGCGATATTTTGGGGTTATAGTAGGGAATATGGGAACATATTACGAGTGATTCAGAGCTAGGAGTTTGGCGGCCCAGTCATCGGCACAAAGTGTCCGGAGGGCGGAGCAACCGAAAAAAAATGCATGCAGTGCTGTGTTGTCTTTGGGAAAAATTGTGCCAAGAGGTATATGTATGCCAAAAAACCCTTAGTATGTCTCAATCTACCCCAATATATCCCAATATATAGTATATCCAAATATACCCCTTCTTACCCCTATGTACTCCTACATATCCCTGTGTCCGCAGCCATAGAACTCCGAGCTCCAGTGCCAGATGAGTTTGCAGCCAGTTCGAGTGGATCCGCATATGGCCTTCAGAATAATCTCATGTAATCACCGTCTCCTCCCTTTCATTCCATATTCTGACATCTGTATACACACACACATATATATATACACATATACATATATATATATACATATATATATATACACATATATACATATATATATATCATACACATGTAATAAATCCCCACGTGCCACCCAGCCATGAGTGACGGCGATGGCTTGGAGCGTTCCAAGACGAGGGACGCTGCGTCGCTGGAGGCAAGACCTGGGAGCTTCCCCAGACACACCTCGAATCCCCGACAGAAACCTGTCTAATCACCTTAATATGAGGGTTATAGAGGGATAATGGAGAATAAAATGGAAACTACTATAGTATATGGGGGTTCTATAGGGATAATGGAGAATAGCCTGTGTTTTTGTTGCTTTCTCTCTCTCTCTCTCTCTCTCTCTCCCTCTCCCTCCCTCTATGTATACTGAGTTGTTTAACGTGTGCATCTCCCACATACAACCCGCAAGTGGTCATGTACGGCCATGATCGCTGAGGGTATCAGCACCATCTTAAGTCCTTAGACTGGTTTGCTATTAAGGAGCTTAATTTAAGTTACTAGATCGGGAAACTATATTAATTACTATATACACCTTTTATGGTAACGTAATTTAAGTTCCTAAAGCCGAACCCCGTTATACCTCATATATGCCCCCATATACCCTATATATACCCTATATATACCCATTATGGTAACTTGTTTCAAGTTCCTTAACAGCAGCCCAGTAGACGGTTGATGCGCGTGGGCACAGGCTTCCTGCTTCCGACGCCGCGAGCTGAGGCTTGGCGCTGGGGACTCAGCTTGGGATGTAGGCTTTTCAGTGTATAGGGGTATATAGGGGTGTATATGGGTATGTAGGGGTATATAAGGGTGTGTAGGGGTATTGGGGGGTATTGGGGTATATAGGGGTATACAGGGGTATATAGGGGTATATCGGGATATATTGGGACATATTGGGGTATATGTGCACTCATAGTATCGGGTTTGGGTGTTTAGGTGTTTGAGTTTCAGGTTTGGAGTTTAGGGTCTAGGAGTAAGGTGTCCAGGTTATTGATCTTGAGACTTAGGGTGCAGAGCTGCGCCTTGAGGATTTCGTCTCCAACCTGGAATCCCCTTTGCAGGATTTCTGTGGATGAGAAGAAAATCGGCCCTAAACCCTAAACCCTAAACCCCTGTGCTTGAAGTGGGGCCTGCTTGGGGCCTACTTTGAACTAAATGATGAGTGAACTATCCGGATGGTTAGGGGCAGGACAGGATCTTAAGGGTGATAAGGATCTTATCCAAAAAATTGGGTAAGGTGAATAAAAGCTACTCATAAACATGTACATGCAGTATAGAAGCCTTCTTATCCAGATGTATCCCTCAGGTGGACCCCCCACCCAGTAATAGTGATTATAATTGAGAATAGGGATTATACTAGGGTCCTCTTATACTCTCATTATACCACTATTACAGGGTGGGGGGGTCCTCCTAAACCCTAAACCCTAAACCCTATAAACCCCTATAGAACCTTATAAACCCTTCTGCCACCCTACATAACCCTATATAACCCCCATCTCTTTAATCACTTGTAATCTAAACCCTAAACCCTAAACCGTATGGTGGCCCAAAAAGAGCCCACGAGTTGCTTGAGGTCCAGCGTGTGGAGTTACGACTTTATCGGAGGACCCGGACCTCTTCAGGAGCCATCCGCACGCGGTTTAGGGTTTAGGGTTTAGGATTTAGGCTACATTCCTTAAAGGGGGGTTATATAGGGGATTAGATAACCACCCTTTATTTAGGGCTTAGGATTTAGGATTTAGGGTCTGAATTCCTTAAGGGGGGATACTAGGACTTTGGTCAATGGCTCAGTTGAGGTGTAGAGTTCACGATTTGGGGTCCAGGATTCAGGGTTAGGATTGAGGGTCTGGTTAGGGTACATTTACATACGAGCTATAGTCCAAATGCATAGTGTCTCCTCGATAACCCCGATAATAGTAAACCCTAAACCCTAAACCCTAAACCCTAAACCCTAAACCTCCCTGTATAATCCCTTGTGTGACCACCTTGCCGGAGTGTGGACTACAGCTCATATGGAGTGTGTTTGAGCCGGATGTGTCGAGCTGCAGCTGCTGAATTGGGAGCCTGGCAGACCCCCCTAAAACCCTAAAACCCTAAACCCCTAAACCCCTAAACCCCTAAACCCCTAAACCCCTAAACCCTAAACCTTTAAACCCCTAAACCCCTAACCCCT